CCCCCGCCCGCCCCTGGCCCGCAGGAGCCCCGCCCTCTCCAGCCCGCACGCGCCCGGGGGACAGCGCCTGGGCGCCATCTACCGGCCACGGGGGGCGCTGTTCTCCAAGTTCTTGGTCTTGTTCACCACGGGGAACTTGGGGGAAGTTGACCTGGGTCATTTGGGATGATTTCCGAAAGGCTAACAGGCCGTGCCTGGACACGCGGTGGCGCAGAAAGGCACAGGAATGATCAGAACAGTATTTCGACTTCCTTGCGCCATGACTAGCGGTACCACCCTGGCCAAGCCGCTTCCCTCTCATCTTCAGTTGGAAGAGTCTATTGGCCTCGGAGGCTCCGAACCTTTCACCACAAAACATCAGCCTCTACCTTTCCTCTCTTTCATTCACTACCTACACACAGACACACACGACATTTTGAAAGAATGTCAATTAAACTTCTAGAGGTATATTTTGTCTATATTTATCAAAGGCAACCTTAACCTCCAATAATAGCTAACATTAGACATGTGTGCAAGGCACTTCCTGTATGCTTTACCTGCATGATCTCATTCAATCTTCAAAAACCATCCTATGAGACCAGAGATACTACTATTCCCATTTTACAGAAGAGAAAACAGGGTCACCAAGAAGATAGGTTAAAATTAATAAAAATAAAAACGTAACACCCAATTTAACTCAGCACAGCCAGCATTAGAAGCCAGCCAAACTCCAGAACCAGCCCTAAAGGCCTCTGCCAGGCCATGAGGCCAGCGACAGCAGAGGCCACCAGGACACCAGGTGTGATGAGCCAAGAGCCTGGTGGTGACAGCAAGGCTGCATAGGCTTCTTACAGGGAAAGCAACTCCACTCTACAGGCATTCTACTAGTTCCTTTTATGAGTCAAGTTGGAAAGGAAGAGTCCAAAATGTTAATAGCAACTTTATTTTCACTGGTGGAAAAAAAAAAATTGGGATAATGGTATGATGCATCTCCCCCTAAATTTACAATAATGAAGGTTATACATAAATTATATAGATCACAAATTTTCCATTTTATACTATTTAGAACAAAATTATTTTGATAAATATGTCAAGAGGACAACATAGGTTCTTAATGGATGGCTGAGTCCAAATATGCAAAATATAGCTTCTGGTTTTGACCATGGTGCTTTAAAGTTCTCAAACATGCATTAATATATTCTAGTTTTAGGGAAAATATTATACATGGCCTTATCTTGCATTTAGGGAAAAGCCCAAGCTGAATTTCACTTACAGTATTCCTTTCGTCTAAATTAACCTCAAATTGGACTAGAGAACAAAGAGACAGACACTCCCAGGTTAGTACTCCCAAGTAATGAGGAAATTACACAATCAACAATGAAACAGAATAGGAAGAAAGGAAGGAGAGCTTCATCAGTATCCACGAGAAGTGTTTTTTAAGTATTTGTTTTGTTTGTTTTTTACAGATCACAGGAATTTTAAATAGCAAGTCAATCATGCTACTTTGGGTGAGCAGACGACCTGAACACTTATGAAGTGAGTAACTTTATTAAGGTCTTGAAGGCGAGTGTCCGGAGGTGCTGGGTCAAACACATCACAGGTAAGAAACGGGAAACCTACCTCAGCATTTCTGAAAGGCACAATCTATGGAAGGGAGACCTAGTGTAATAACCCTCTGGATGTATGTGGAAAGGAGCATGGTGGGCCTGTTCCCTTTACAGGACAAGGCCTTCATAAATGGGCCCCTCCGATTCAGGGGACTCCCGCCTCAAGCGCAGGTGCTCCAGCGTGTTATGGAAATGTTTGTTAATCTGCTCTGTTTCTTCACTGGACTCGAGATTGGGGAGGTCTTCTCGGATCTTCTGGATAAGCTGGTTCAAAACCTGAATCGTGACCTAAAAAAGAGTACGTACAAGTTGACGATCCAGAGTGTACCACAAGGATTAAAGGTAATTTAATAAAAAGATTCTGAGGAGCTTGTGCTACTCTCACCAGTGACCAGAATAATTATGAGAAAAAAGAGATGAGAAAAGGGTTCCTGGTTTAAGCAACAACTATTGGCTATTCATTCAAGAAAAAGTTAATAAAAAATACAGAGCATCATGAACCAGTAAGAGAACAAGAGCAAAATCGTATTTAACCTACAAATCTTGACCACCACTATACTGCTAGACGCAGAATGCTCAATTCTTTCTTTAGGAATTATTCTAAAATTGTGCATGACAAATCAGCCTACCGTTTAGCATAAATTATTGTGTTTTAAACAGACAGTGACTGTTTTTATAAAACATTCCTAAGCAAACGAGATCGAGAATCTCCTTGCACATGATGAGCTCTTCCGTTAGAGATGCACCTACACAGAGAAGAGGACTTTGGAGAATCGGAGACCAGTAGGTGGAGTCTCCCAACTCTGACCCTTGTAAACAAGAGAAAATATCAGAATGATACATTTTTGTATGTATCAAACCTAAGAGTAGGAAGAGAAATCGTTCACTTCACTTACCGCATCATTCTCCTTTTCATAAAAATAGATGTATCTGTTCAAAATTTCTATAAAAAGTTGCACTTGTAGCGAGGGGTCCATGCACTGATTTGCTATTTTTAGAGCTTTCTTCAGGCATTCCATTACCCTCTTGCCTCCATGCAGCTAGAAGGGGGGAGGGGAGGTAAAGACATCAACAGATCACAATGTCCCAGCCCACACAGGGAGATAAACACCACTACAGTGCCTCTTTCACGTTTTAAGCAGGGGTGGGGAATGTCCTGTCCACGAAATCATTTGGTCTGGCCCTGCCAAGGCCTCACCAAAAAGAAGCAGTTCCAGCCATCACATTAGGGGTGAGTTAATTAAATGTATGACCAACTATAGCATGCTAATTTTTAAGTTGATAATTTTGTATGGCTCTCAAAATGATGTTAGAAATATCCAAATGGCCCGGCCCGGCGTGGCTCAGCGGTTGAGAGTCGGCCTAGGATCCAGGCGATCAAGGTTCGATTCCCGGTCAGGGCACATGCCTGGTTTCGGGCTCGATCAATGACTCTTTCATCATTGATGTTTCTGTCTCTCTCTCTCCCTCTCCTTTCCTCTCTCTGAAATCAATAAAGATATATTTAAAAAAATATATCCAAATGGCCCTTGGCAGAAAAAAGGTTCCCCACCCATTTTAAAGAAACACAATGAACTTAATTCTTTATTTTTAAAGTACACAGCTGTATTTTAAAGCAAATACGTTATTTGTTTTGTATGTTTATATACAGGCATACCTCGGAGATATTGCAGGTTTGGTGCCAGACCACCACAATAAAGTGAGTATTGAAATAAAACAAGTCACACACATTTTTTGGTTTACTGTGCACAAATAAGTTATGTTTACCCTACACTGCAGTCCATTAATTGTGTAATAGGAAGGCCCGAGGAGCAGGAGAGAGGGTGGGGAATGGTTGGTTGGTGGAGCAGTCAACACAGCGACTATGTTGCCACCTTACATGGGTGCAGTTCATGGTACCCAAAACCATGACAGCAGCAACATCACAGATCACGGGTCACAGATGGCCCCAAGTGATGATAATGACAAAGTGTGAAACACTGTGAGACTCAGCAACCTGACAGACACAAAGTGAGCACATGCTGTGGGAAACGGTGCCGAGGTTTGCTGCTGCAGAGTTGGCTCACACCTTCTCTGCACAAGCAGTGTCTGCGGGGCACAGTGAAGAACATGCACTCACAGGCCTGCCTGCCTGTGTACATGTGCTAACGGCAGTGGTATAAACTTGCTGTACAACAGCCTCAAAGTGGAGGCTTCCCTCCACGATGTGACTCTATTCACTACTTTCCTTTTCATTTAACAAAACATTGTTCTTCCTGAGGTCTGCAAGCACTCCCAATGCCTCACCTGCAGGGCACCAGCCCTGGCAGCCACCCCACTAACGACCCCTCTCCTGTGGTCTGCTCACGCTGAGCCTCTCCCTTACCTCCTCCCCATTTTTGTCTGTGTTCCTGCCCGACCAGAAGAGATGGGCACAGGTGCTCACAGCTCGGCCCTGGTCGGGCTTCTTGAGGAGTTTGGATGCGGCAAGAGCACACTGAGTCCGCAGGGGCTCGTGGTTCTCTTCGCTGAAGCACTTCATCCTTTCAAAAGTCCCGATGATCAACGTGATGGCTGCCAGCTGGGCTTTGGAATCGCTGATCTCATCCTCGTACAGAGAAAACGCCTGGTGGACACAGGGCAGAGGGACCTTTAGGCACCAATCATCCACCTGAGCATTTTCCTCCAAAGCAGTTCCCACCAAACCCCACTGGTGAGGCCTTCTGCAGCCCCTCAGATCAGAGCATGTGGGCCCTCTGGAGGGCACCAGGCGCTGCAATACAGTGAGGATGGTGACCAGCTTAACTTTTGCTTAACGCAGGTTCCCTAACTGAACTAACAAAGGAAACTTCTCCACGAAAAGTTTTACCATGACCCACTTGGAAATCTCAAATCTCAGTAGCACCCAGTAACTGATCAATTTTCCATCACCAAACTAGTCAATCTGATTGTAGTACTAAGAAGTAGCTGGAAATTCAGAGAGAAGTAAAGCCCCGTGCACTGCCGCCAGAACCGACAGGCAACTGAACCCACCTGAGACATAAATTCATATGCTACTGTCTCGTGATTTTCAAAGCCGATTTCTCCAGCAGCTAACGCCCCCTGAAGAAAAAGTCGTAGGGGTAACTCCGCCAGCTCTGCCTTGATCAGAGCACTGATAGTCTGGTGAGCAAAGGAAAAGATCTTCTGGCACTTCTTTTCCCATTTGTCATCCTACAACAAGAAAGAGTGTTCAATTACCCAAGTTTTCAAGATTAATGTGCTCAAGAACACTTATTTTATACAACAAACAGAAAGCAAGCAAGTGGAGCCCAGTTTTCCTGTTATCTTTCTTCTCAGTCATGAAGCACACAGCGACTCAAACCAGGTATCTTCTCAAAACAGCCATTGGAGCTGAGCAGCTATACAATCTTCATATATTAGGTATTTTGTCTTTCTCATCAGAAAAACAACACATTCCCAAACTGGACAGAATTAGAAAAATAAACAAAAATAGAATTTTAAAAATTAAAACCGTCCCTAAATCTACCACCAGCAATAATCACTGACAACAGTGGTGTGAAGGTCTTCCTTCCTCTTTCTGCAGACAAGCCGTAACTGGGATCTGTGGGCGGCTGTGTTCTGCTTTGCAGCAGCAAACACACACAGTTAAACTGGGCTCAGGCTGCACATAATTTGTATTCAACTTCTTTTCTTTTACTTATTTTGTCATAACAATTTTCCTCATAATACTAAATTTATTAAAATCACTGCAATCACTAGAATATATTCCACAAACTGGACGTGGCATAATGGACTTAACTATTCCCCTTTGGGATCTATACCACCATGATGAATGATTTGTGTACACAAACTTTACTCAATCCCTGATTATTTCCTTAGTATAATTTCTTAGATGTGTGTTTACTGGACCTCCTGAGGTTCTAGTTACAGATTGCCAGTTTCCTAGGAAGATGGCGGCAATCCGCATCCCTGTCACTAAATGGGAATGAACTCACCACACCATTGCCATCACCGAGCTTTATCTTTTTCTCTTTACCAGCCTGATTTCTAAAAAGGTTCATTGTGTATTTACTAGTGAGGTTAAATATTTTATCCATGTTTGGCCATCCAAATTTCTCATTAAAGCAATCAGTTCTTTTCATTTTTAAAAGAGAATGACAGTCTCAGACTTGTGCCGAGGACTCTGCAGTAATCCAGGCACACGGTCCAGGCACAGCGTAAGCACAGTGAGCAACGCCAGCTGCCATGTTATGAGCACGTTCACGGATATCTATCCACAGATGCTGCACAGGAACTGAATGACAGAGGCTGGCCTAACAAAAACTGACCAAAAGCTGCTAGGCCTTGCTGGTAGTCAGCTGAATAAATCTTGCTTCCCCATTAGTAGAAAATTAAGTTTACTGAGGTTTTTTCCTTAGCATAAACCTGGCTGTCCAGGTACTTGGGCTGAGGAGTTTTCTACAAAACTACATGAAGACTTAAGCCGTAATCCTGTGGTAAAGGAATAAGCTCATAAACAATGGGTATGACTCAAAAGTGATTCAATGGCAGGCTTCCGGAGAGGTGAGGATGCAGCGCCAGCCCTCCACCGGGCACAGCTGGCCCGGGCCATCCTTCCCCCGCAAGCCTCACCGGAGCCCTCACCACGAGACAGCTGTGCTTCAGAGTCTACGAAATACAACCTCTCTGGAAAAGCGGAAGCATTCTGAGCCAACGGCATAACAGACTTATCATGTCTCACAAGTGATCGTTAAACACAGGGAAACTCCAAGCATACATTTAAACTGGTGGAATCTTTCATTTCTAAATGTTTACACATGATCCCTCAGCCAGTATATAATCTACCAACATCACTGTTAGGGACGCTGAACACAGGGTGAGCAGTGAATTGAGTGCTATTGAAAACGGGGCTTTACAACACCAGTGTCTATTTTTGTGTATGTCTGAAATTTCCTATAATAAACTAAAGCACACACAGAGTGGGACAAAGGAGGAAGGGCAGTGACATACCGCTTTAGAATTCCGCTTGTAGCGAAAGGCCAGCTGGTAGGCCGCGAACACCAGGGGCGGCAGCGTGAAGCGGATCCGCTGGTTCCCGCCAGCTCCAAAATGTTTTCGTGCCGTGTTTAAAATCTGACCAAAAAAACCCCAAAACCATTAATCATTTCTGCACTACGATTAATCATCTAAGATTAAATGGAGGCTCTGGTCCTCTCTTGCTGCCAGGCCTTCCGGTAGGCACTTCACCCCTCTGATCTCGCAGTCATCACAGTCACCCTTGAGACGCACGTGAACCCCATCTCACAAACAGGAGCCTGCGGTTCAGAGAGGCTGCATAACCTGCCCGATGTTGCACAGCTAGGCAAAGCAGAGAGCGACTGTGATTTGAACACACGTTCCTGTGCAAGTGTACAAAGTACACTGTGCTGGCAAAGAGCTCTAAAGACAGAATTCCATTTACAAGTAGGTCCTGACACTTACTACTATGCGACCCTGGGCAAATTAATTACCTTCGCTTAGCTGTTATTGTTTGAAAAATGGGTTAGGATCTCTCTCCTAGGGTCGTGGGACAATCAAATAACACATGAGAAGCACTATCAGTACCCGACACAGGCACATGCTTGGAAAAGTTGGCTGTTCTAATGATCAAAACCAGCTTCATGCATATTGCTGGCACAAAGACCCCTAATTCAGGAAAAGAGTAACACACTGAAGTCAAGGGAAAGGACACACACTTTCAGGGAGCCACTGGGAAACAGATGTCTGGTTGTTTCAGGAACACGACAAGAACTGACACCATGCGTGACACTCAGGTGTGTGAATTTCTCTGATGTGGCAGACGGGGAAGAGGAGCACGCATCCCATCTGGGAAGTCAGAGCGCACAGTCCTCCCTTAAAGCTCTCTTTACTTGGGCATAACCGACTGGCCACAGTGGAAGGTATACTTCCTACTACCTCTGGTACATGAGAAACGCAAACACCTTTAGGCGCATGTGCACATGTGTGTGTGCATCCATGTGTGTGTGTGAGAGAGAGACACGGGAACATAAGGGAAACAGTTAATAACATAAATGACCAGGAGGCTGCTGTGCACACATCACACACTAGGGTCCAGGGTGGCCATCCCTGAGCCAGGTCAAGGTCATCACAGCACCAAAAGAGGCCGGCTGCTTTCACACAGGCTATAAAGTAGCATAGACTGGCCCTGGACAGAGGCTCGGTTGGTCAGAGTGTCATTCCATACAAAAAAAAGTGGGGGTTCAATTTCCAGTCAGGGCACATACCCAGGTTGTGAGCCCGCCCTGAGGTGATACAAGGTTGGGGTGAGTGCAACAGGCAGCCAATCAATGTTTCTCTCCCCCATAGATATTTGTTTCTCTCTCCATCCCCACTTCCAAAATCAATAAAAAAATAATAAAAAATTTTAAAAATAAAGGAGCACACACTGTCAGCTGTGACAAAGGAAGTCACACAAGGAGAAAATCAGGACTCAGCCTCACATAAGGTGTTCATGGTATCAGCCTGACACTGAGCCTCAGGCACCCAGCAATGGTTAAACTGCTCGGCCGACAATAATTAGCAGTCATCTGTGCCACCCGTCGTTAAAATAAATTCCCCCTCATCAGTCACCCAGGCAACATGCTTCAGGGATCACACAGAGATTTAGTTAAGACTAATGATAAAAAAGGGGAGAATGGCCAGGTGTGGCTCAGTGGTTGAGCATCGACCTAGGATGCAGGAGATTGAGGTTCGATTCCCCACATGCCCAGGTTGCGGGCTCGATCCCCAGCAGGAGATGTGCAGGAGGCAGCCCATCAATGATGACTCTCTCATCACTGATGTTGCTAGCTCTCTCTCCCTTCCTCTCTCTAAAATCAATAAAGACATTCAAAAAAAAGAGAACTTCATTCATTGTTTTTTTTACCAGGAAAAGGGTTTGGTAAAAAAAGGCAATTTCAATTTTGAAGTCTTTTCACACATTTCCAATGTCACAAACACATACAACTTATACTTGAAAACGTAAATACAATTGAAAAAAAAACCTGTTGATTATATTTTAAAGCAACACAGTTTAAAAAAATATGACCTTGGAATGATTACTGGACACCCAAGTCAGAAAAGACAGGCTTGCCCTGGCCGGCTTGGCTCAGTGGCTAGAGCATCAGCCTGCAGACAGGAGGGTTCGATTCTGGCCAAGGGCACGTGCCTCAGTTGCAGGCTCAATCCCCAGCCAGGAGGCAACCAGTCGATGAGTCGCTCTCCCATCGGTGTTTCTCTCTCTCCCCCGTCCACTCTCTCTGAAAAGCAGTGGAAAAAATATCCTCAGGTGAGGATTAAAAAAAGAACAAAGAAGAAAGACAGGCTTTTCTGCAAGAAGTCTTCAAAAGAAACACAAACAACCAACTTGTTCCCCATAAGCTCCAGATTACAAATAATTATATATTTATATAAAGTAAAAGTCTACGGACTCCACTTAATCTCTTATTCAATTGAAATTCTTTCAAAACCTTCTAAGACCACAAGCAACATTAGACTATGGGAGACCCGTCTGTCCGTGACTGTCCGGGAGCTCTGCAGGGGGAAGGGAAAAGTTAGCTCATACCAAGTACTGCTGGTCAGGGTCCTCGGACCGCAGCAGATGAATGAACCTGCCCACAAGGCTCTGCTCGTCGGCAAAGTCCTCTGGGTCAGGGTCTTCCACGGGCTGATCTGGCTGGTCCTGAATCAATGTGGATACCAGATTCATTATGGAGTCCACCTGTAACGTAGGGGAAAGAAACCCACTGGGTGAAGCCATCAGTAGAAAAAGCCACTGTCAAAAGTGTTTCTAGTTGTGTAAAATGACAAAACAGTATGAACAATACAATTCTTTTTATAAGCAACTATATGCATGTTGAGTCACACACACCAAAGTCTGGAGAGAGATGCAGCAGGCGTTAATCAACAGTGGCTATTCTCTTTCCGGTGACATCACAGCTGTTTTCCAATTTCTTCCTTATACATCTCCAGTTTTGTAGCTTATATAATAAATAAGCTACTTACAACAATATAGCATGTTGGCTGATAGTCTCTTACCTGGTCTTGAGAGACAATTTCTGTGTTATAATCCAGAACATTACTAAGCACGTAACAACTCATGCTCTTTCTGGACTCATAGTCAAAGTACTCAAAGAGCGGGTGAAAATGTTTTAACTTCAAGACCGTTAAAATATTGTTGTACGTGTCCACAGGTATCTTCAGAAGTCTGGTAAGCTCCTTTGAAACCGCACTACTGGTGGCAATACTGCAAAAAGAAAAGCAGCAGCCCTTCACTGAGCAGAACTAACTTTCCACACATATAAATGGCACTTGTTTCATGAAAATTTGAAAATTTCCATTTATACATTAAAGGAAATTGGTCAAGTGAATCACACCACCCAAATACTCCAATGACCTCCTTCCAAGACGCCTCTCTTAGCACACGTATTCACCTACTAATGTCCTACTGATAAAAATGAGATACAGTAATGACAGGTTGTGTAGCTGGAGTTAAAATGACTTTTTGGAATTTCCTTTTCTAAAGGGAAGTATTTTAAGTGGTAGTGAATAAGTACTATAGATTCATGATGAAATAAGTAGGAAGAACATTCCATGCCAAACTAGCAAGTCAACCAAACTGGAGGAAAACGGCCGGCTGCTTCTGCCTCCAACGCCAGTGATTCAGGAAAGCAGCAAGTTGAAGGCGGCTTGCGGGCCACTCTGTGCAGACTGAGCAGCAGGCATTTAAAGAACTTTAGAGGGTGGGATTTCTACTTCTTTATTTTATTTAACTTTACTTTAAAACTCACTTAGTAAGGGAAGCTACAGATACATCATTGTTACCACTCAAGATCTGAAATGCTTTTTGGTTCACAAAATAATGGAACAGACCAAAAGAAAAAAGGGGAATAAAAAGAGGTAAAAGAAAAAGAAATCTTGTGATGCAGCTAAACCACTAGAAGAGAGCCGGAAAGGAGAAAGATTACATGAGGCGACACTATGAAGGGCGTGCAGCAGGGCCTGGCCTGACCCCACGTTCGGAAGCAGTGGAGGGCAGGGCAGGAAGGGGACTTGCAGAGAAAAGACAAAGGGCTCAGAAGTCCCCACAATGGCCACTAGAGGGTGCCACAGGTTCAGGAGAGCATAGCTAATGAAGCTCTGACCAAAACCAAAGCTCAGAACAAAAACTATCTCAAACCAACTTAATTTCCATACCTTAAATACAGACATGCCCATAATTTTTCGCAACGTACTCATCTGTTAGAAAACATTTCTCATGGAAGTACTGCCTGACAACAGAGTCTCCCTACCAGTTTAAAAACTAATTCATTCATTATGCAAAGGGGTCTGACCTGAAGACACTGGTCCCTGAAGCTGCTTATGGCCCATGAGCCACTACTTGACAAACATACACAATCAAATAATTAGTCCCCACTTTCTGGCCCCATTAGCACCAAATATGTCAAACAAATGCTAACACTTCAAAAAGGAATGGACAAAGAAAAACAGATCTAGGACAGAAATGTGCCCTGTGAGGGTTTTTGTTTCTTTGTTTTTTTATTTTTTGTTTTAATTTTTATTAATTGATTTGATTTTAGAAAGGGAGAGAGAGCAAGAGAGAGAGAGAAACACTGACTTGCTGTTCCACTTACTTATGCATTCATAGATTGATTCTTGTATATGCCCTGACTGGGGGATCGAACCCGTAACCTTGGTGCATCAGGACAACACTCTAACCAACTGAGCTACGTGGCCAGGGCTCCTATAAGAGTTTTTACAAAAAATGTAACTCTGACTTACTGTTCAAGGTTGAGCTTATTAAATATTTCCACTGTTGTTTCTAGAACTTTATCAACATAGTCCACGCGGTCAGGGTAGCACTTCATAGCAAGGTTGATGAGGGAGACTTGTAAAGATACAACATCCTCCGAAGGCATGTCTTGTCTAGACTGGAATGGTTAGAAAACCATAGGATTTGTTTTAAACAGATAAGAAAGGATCCACGAGCTGAGAAGTCTCAGTGTTGCCAACTTAGGAGCAAAGCCATACACACCTGTATTACTGTAGCCACCTGCTGTGAAAATATGTCAAAGAGCTTAATATCTGCGGGAATTCCAGGTCCATCTTCACGGTGAGCAAATAAAGCTAATCTGAAAATAATAAAAAGAAGCCTTGTTTTAAAAGATACAGGGATCTGGGTAGTAGGATCATAGATGACATTTTATTCTTTATACTTTTCTATATTTCCTACATGTGTATTTCTTCTAGAACATTAGAACATTAAAAAAGGTTTTTAAAAAGGACATGGAACATAGTAGATCATTCCCTCAAAGCACTTTTAACTAAACAGTTTGTCAATGAGACCTTATTTCACTACATTCCTACTTTATACCAAACTTGATACCACAGAAAAATGGGTTTTCAATAGGTCAATTATACCAAATTCTTGGAAACCTAATTAAGCAGATATGGATAGAAATGCATTAAAGTGACAAATGCAGCCACTTGTTACTAGTGGCTCAGTGGTTACATATCAACCCATGAACCAAGAGGTCACAGACCTGATTCCTGGGTCAGGGCACATGCCCGAGTTGCAGACTCGATCCCCAGCAGGGACGGTGCAGGAGGCAGCCAGTCAAGGACTCTCTCTCATCACTGATGTTTCTATTTCTCTCTCCCTCTCCCTTCCTCTCTCTGAAATCAATAAAAATATATTTTAAAACAAATTTTTAAGTGACAAATGTATTCAACAGCCACAATTATAAAAGATAATCTTTAAAAGATGAAGAGTACGACTGTACGATGCTGCATTTTTACTACTGTCAAACTGAGAACCAATTCTAAAAGTAATGAAGTTAACTTCTATTTCCCATATCTTAAACTATTCAAAATAACATCTGTCCATGACCAGGATCCACACTGGATCCACGCTGTGTGCGCACAGAGGAGTCGCTACTGACAGGGATGGCTAAGCGACAGGACCCCGCCCGACCAGGAAAACAGTTCTCAGCTTCCATTAAGAGTACGCCCAATTACAATCCTTAATGCCCAAGACCAAGTTGATAACTTGGAGAATTCTCTATATAAACCCTCAGACTTTAAATCTAAAGATGTTCAGAATATAACAAAAGGGAGTATTTGTAGCAATGAACCTTTGCCTAGGTGCTGGTGAGTCGTAGCAGGACACATGTTCTGGACAAGCACTTGGCACACTGGCCAGCGGGCACACGTTAGACCCACATCAAAGCCAAGTTTCATACTTTTACATAAGACCAAGGGCTACAGAAATAAGACTTAAACCTAAAGGAAATTTACTAACATATTAAGACTTTAAATTTCTTCTTTAAAAAATACATGATGACAGAATAATTACTTGAACATTTTTACTCACCTATATATGTGAATTATAGGTGAATCATTTATATCAGTGATTTTCAACCTTTTTTGTCTCATGGCACATAAACTAATTACTAAAATTCTGCAGCACATCAAAAAAATATTTTTTGCCCATCAGACAAGAAAATAGGTATAATTTTGATTCATTCCCACCAGACGGCTATTGCTGTGCTGGCTGTTGTCGTCGTTGTATTTGACAATCTAAGGGAAAAGGGGTCAGTGCCCCTGGCTAAATGCTCAGGAGTTGCATGTGTTAACAATTCTTGTGGCTCACTGGCTAAAAATCGCTGCTCTCTATCTCGTGGCTACATGATAAAGAAGACTCCACGTCCAACTGGTGCCCGCTGGAAAAAAGCTTCCAACGGGTAAGAAACACATTTTGTTCTTTTGTGATCTTTGGATTTGTAAGATTTAAATGATGGGCCTGTATAACAACATCTTTAAATGATCACTAAATGCAGAGCTTAAAAATATTTACTATTTCCATGCTTCCTGCACAATTAAATGCTAATCTTTCATGCCCAAGTCAGGCAAGTACTTAGTAGACACTGATAATTACAGAACCAAATAGTGTATTACATGGAAGTCATTAATACAATAAAGACGTAACAGAGATATCACAATGTCTTATGCGGTGTCCGAGGCCAGCACGCTCGCGCTCCAGCGCTGGAGGCTCACCTGTCGATCAGAGCAATGATGATGTTCTTCACGTTCACACTCTGGTGCAGCTCAGCGCAGGCCCGAAGAAAAGGGTTCAAAGTCTGCAGGTGGAATTCGTCAGGGAACACCTGAAAACCAATCAGAGTTGTCTGATACAAGCAAGCACACGTCACGGTTCAGATTCCGGAACCGCTATGGTTTTTAAAGTTCACATTTGGGGGAGGGGGGGTTGCCTTATGTCATGGGATTCAATTAAAATGCATTACTTTTAAGCCTCTCCAAACATAAGCCCAGAGAGAACTATCCCACTAACCAAAGTACACCCACAATTATGCTAAAACTAATGAGACCCAGAAAGAGTGGAGGCTACACTTCACGACATCTGGGGAGAAAAACACAAGACCGGAATAGGAGTAGGACAAAGGAATTCTGCACCCAGGAAAGCTTGTTTTCTACTCTGTCAAGGTTTTTTTCAAAACAATAAAAATTAATGAAATATAAAATGAGTCGTATGAAAAAAATTAAACTAAGTGTTCTCACCGACCTGAATAATACACTCCATGAGGTATTCTTGAGCCAAAGCATCCCTACAATTCACGACTTGCTCCAATATGCCAGTCAAAACAATCTAAGAGAAAAAGTAAGAGTTAAAAGATTATCTTCAAAATCTTAAGTCACCTCTCTAATAGCACATTTAGACTATTAATTTGAGTATCATATTTTAGGTTTTTCTCACCCATACTTCATTTCTAGATTAAACTTTAAAATTTAATACAGGAATTTTTAAATAAAAACCCTGTGTTTCTATTTAGTAAAAGTCACTTAAGATGAAGTCCATTTCATTAATCTTTCATCTTTTCTGCTTTGCGCTTTTTGTGTCATAAGAAATCTCTGTCTAATCCAAGGTTATAAAGACTTCCATTGTGTTTTCTTCTAAAAGTTTTAATAGTTGTAGATTTTACATTTAGGTCTCTGGCCCATTTTTGAGTTTTTTACAAGGTATGACGTTGGGTCACAGGATAGGGGTTTTGTCTGCATACATCTATGTCCACGTTCTAGAGCCATCTGTTGGAAAGGCTGCCTTTGTGCCCTTGCAGATAATCGATTATATATGCGGGTCTGCTCCGGGCTGTCTAGTCCAGGGGTCCCAGTCTAGCCGACCTGCCCGCTGCTGCCACGCGGGCTGCAACTGCTTCACATGACGCCTGCAGGGCGCAGCAGGTGCAGGCCGAGCGGCTAAATATTCACTCTCCGGTCCTTCTCGAGAAAGTCTGGGGCTCCCTGCTGTACCCTCCTCCACCGATTTATGTGCTCATCCCTTTCCCCAACACCGAAAATGCCGTCTACAGAGGAAAACTGGGAATATCAAACTTCCACTCCACACACACTCAACACTTATCTTTCGGTTTATTTTAGGATTCTTTGATTGTCAATGGTTCCCAACGTAGTATCATTTAACAAAAATATTTCAATTTTAAAAATCAGACTCCTGTGACGTAAGAAAAGGTGACAAGAGAAAAAAAGAAACCTGTTTGTAACGTTCCACGTTGACACCCTCCAGCTGACTGAGGCGCACCAGGTTTGTTCCCACCAGAATTCTCAGCTCCTGCCTCTCCCGCTCTCTCTTCTCTCTGTCTCGGCTATGTCCCTGATGCTGCATTCGCACCCAGAGCTTGTTCATCTCTGCAAAGTTGAGTAGTACAAAATCCATGGAATCACTGATGTCGCCGGTCGTTTCTTCACTGCAAAGAAACAGTTGGAAAATCTTCACATACAGTATTCACATCACAGGAAAATGTACTACTCTGTGCCTCCCCTCTGTGCACTCATCTCCTTAACACACCGTGCTTTATAAAAGGCACTTCCAACCTCACCAGCTGAGGGTTCAATTTCAAGAACAAACCTAAGGGGAAGAAATGCCAGCGAAAGGACAAAGTACAAGTCTAAAGGGACAAAAGACCCCTGCCCCCTTCCCTGCACCAACCAGACTTGTTATGACAACTCCATTAATTCAAAAAGCCTAAAAAATCTGACGTAATGTACTGGTAACTACATCATTTTATCGTTAATGTTTTGTTTTCAATTGGAATGCAAGCTTGGTGAAGGCGAGAGGAGAGCACGTGTTTCCTGCTCATTTTTACACCTCCTAAGATGGGGAGCTCAGTTTTCAAATTGTTTTTTCTGATTGCCCAGTTAAGCGCTCGACCGGGAGTCGAGCCATAATAAACATCCTCACACTCCTTTCTTTTTTTCTACCCTCCGCTGCTCCTCAGAGAGGGGGAGGCATCGGTGAGACACATCGACTGGTCGCCCCCTGCTCCCGTGGGCTGGGCGGAGCCTGCCCGAGGTGCGTGCCCCTGAGGTGCGTGCCCCTGAGGTGCGTGCCCTCAGCCGGAACTGAGCCCGGGGCCCTTCAGTCCGTGGGCCGAACTCTAGCCACTGAGCCAAACCGGCCGGGCTGACCTCACATCCTTTCTGTTAAATTTTTACCTCTTCTATACCATGCAAATGTCTTGTCACATGCATGGTAAAATTTCTAGTTTTTCTTTTAAAGGAACTGATGCAGATATACTAGGAACCACTGAATTGTGCATCTTAGAAGTAAGTGAATAAACTTTTACGACAGGAATTAAGTTCTTCAGCCTGGGGAGCTTGTCACATGAACAGTTCACCTGGTTAGGTGGCGACCCCAGCCACTGCCCATCTGCCACTTCTGTAAGAGCCCAGTGGATTCGAGGCTGGAGTACTGCTCACACAGGAGACAGGGCTCTCTCCCAGTGGCTTCTGTTTGTTCTGGTTCGGAGTTAATATCTAATTTGTGTGCACAGATCATTAAAATCACTTATATTCTACAGTAACTAATAGTCCAGTCCATAAATTATAAAAACTGACAGAATTCAAGAAACAGTATGAAAACTGGGGAGCTCATAGAAAACGTTAAGCACGCTACATCATTTCATTGAAAATACAATTTTTAAAACATAACACATTTAAAAAGTCATATTTTCAAAGACTACTTAATGGAATGGAAAAATGTTCTCAATTATATTAAACGAGAAAAGCATAGATGTCATTGTCGTGAGGGCCCATCCACATCACAAATACTGAGGGTGCTGCATCACAGAGGGAACCTAACCACAAAAGGAAAAGCCACCAGTAGCCGACTGCATGGGAGAACTGGATACCATCCTCTTCTATATACTGTGTATACTTTTAATGCACTCTACAACAAAAACAGCACACCTCAATGAGAAAAGAAAAGCACTTACTCTGTTGGCTCTCCCTCATCAGGCAGGATGTTCCTGGTACACTGAAGAAGGTAATTCCGAAGGAACAGACCTCTCAGGGGGTGCTGCACACCCCGGCACATTTCTACCAAATCCTTTAAAATGTCCTTCCTGGACTGAGGAAAAGACTTGACATATACCACTCCAACCGTGATCAACAGGTAACTAGGAGAATGGTTAGGAGACATGTGATTAGAAATAAAAGTCAGCCGGCGTGGCTCAGTGGTTGAGCATCAACCCATGAACCAAGAGGTCCCAGTTCGATTCCCATCAGGGCACATGCCCGGGTTGCGGGTTCCATCCCCAGTCGGGG